TGGGGGGGCTGCAGCTGGCTTTCCCCTGTGGAGATGCAGAGTGGGGGGCTGCAGCTGGCTATCCCCTGTGGAGATGGGGGACATTGTTCTGTTAAGCTCTTTCATTCCACAATCTCACAACTTCCCCTTCTCCCCCTTCTTCTTTTTGGCTACAGACCTACAGGGGCTGCCTGCGATGCCGAGGGAGTGCTGACTGGGAACAAGCAGCCCCACAGCGGGAGGAGGAACCCCATGCCACGTGCTAGGGAGAGACGACCGACGCCAACCTGAACCCGGGCCAGGCTGCCAGGCACCAGGACTGGGGGGGTGTCCTAGGAAGGTGATCACTGGCATGATGAGGGATCACTGATCTCAGGCGGGGCCCAAGGACCTGCCGAGACCAACCTATGGGAAGCAAAGCCATTGGCTGCCCACCGGTGCCCCTGCTCACCCGGCTCTGGACAGGGTGCGGGAACCACAGCATCTCTGTGCCCCAGGGCTTGGAGGGAACTGGCTGGCACCCAGGGACACCCGCCCAAGTCAGGGCAGAGCAGCCGGGTTCCTGCATTGGCAGGTGATGCAACTCCAGCCCCACAGCCACAGAGCAGGGCTGCCGAGCCGCAGCAAGTGGCCAGGGACTGGGGGGCTCTGCTGGGACGGAGGACAGAGAGGGACACCCCCAGACTCTGTGCTGAAGCCCAGCACTTCTGGGGCAGGGTTTCTGTGGGCACTAGAAGCAGCTCAGCAGGCCCCTGCAGACGGAGCATCGCACTGGCAGTGCAGGGATGGAGGGGCCCTGCTCTGACAGCCCCTCATGCCAGGTGCCTTGTGGGGGGCGTGGCCAGATCCAGGGCAATTCCAAGGGACCTAGCCCCTGTTGTCCCACCGCAGCTCTGGGCAGGTAGAAGTTTCGGGACACCCCGAGCACAGGGCTATGCCAGAGACCCCCAGGTTACGAGCCAGCAATAGGGGAGGGCAGGGTGAGGCCAGAGGACTAGGGATGAGAACAATTGGTCAACTAGTGGATAAGCAAATGCTTATTGGACAGTCAACTAGTCACTTCCCCCATTTGCTGCCTCTATCTGAAAGGGGCAGGGGAGGAGGAGGTTCAAAGCAGCAGTGCTGCGTGGATCTGGCACGGCCGCTTTGAAATGCCACAGGGAGCACAGGGCCAGCAGGGGAGTTCCCAGCTTTGAACCCGCCAACAGAGAACTGCTGATCTGGTACTTCCTGCAGCACTTTCACCCAGGGCTGTTGCTACACTTCAAAGGCAGAGGTGCCCTTATCAACTAATTGACAAATTGCATTGACTATTCAATTAGCCTGAATCTAAATTTAACATCCCTACAGGGGACAAGCTCCACTTAGCAATGGGAGCACGAGAAGGTTTGGGGCTATGACAGGGCTGGGGGGAGGTTTGGGGTTCTGACAGAGCTGGGGGGGAGGTTTGGGGTTCTGACAGAGCTGGGGGGGGGGGGTTGGGGTTGTGATGGGGCAGAGGGCAGGTTTGGAGTTCT